AGGCTGACAACCAGGCAGTAAAGTCTTTTATCACATAAGGGCAGGAAAGGAAGAGGCAGAATTTAAACCTGACATAAAAGTACACTTACAAGCACTCCCCTTGTCTCTGCTGTAAATGCAACTTCGCTAAGGCACGTCCTTGAATCTTCTGCCACAGAGCTCGCAAGCCTATGTTTATGTTCCTTGAGAGAGATTGACTGTCACACTCAGTTTGAACCTCCAACAGGTGACTGGACTTATTTTGCATGCATCCAAGCCCTCAAAAGCAGACATGATCTGAATCTGTCATTCTTCATTTCCTTTTGTGTAGCTTACAGTTCGCTTGCCCCAGAGGAAAATTCCATGTGAGTGGAAATATTTCATCCATCTGGACAAATGGACTTTGTCCATGACAAAAATATGCTGTAATGAATGAGATAGGATGGGATTCTGTAGGTAAGGGGAGGATTTTGTGATTTCTAATCACTAGGTAACATCACCTAATATGGCTTCCATTTCTATCTGACCCTGTGCTTTTTGCTCAGTAAAAATCTACCATTCTCTCTCAACGAAGAGGCCTCCATATTCAGAGTAGAAAACAAAAAGCAGGTGGCCAAGGTTAAAAAAAACAAACCGGGATCTGCATACAATTCAAGTTCCAATGAGCTGTCAAGTGTAATTAAATAATGGCATTATTAGAAAGCAGGTAATAATTGTTCCACCACCACATCATCCCTAGATTTTGCATTCTCAAAAATGGGGGGCTGTCATGCAATCTATCCTGCGCCTTGAAAAAGATCCAGGTAGAACCACAGCAAGCTTTGCTGACCTCAAAAGCAGCACAGGATTTGCCTAGTTCTTAGATGGGAGAACACCAGGAAATCCAGACTGTAGTCTAGGCTGAGCAGCTGAAAAAACATCTTAGAAGACAGTAGCAAACTACTTCCAAACCTCCACATGGAAATGTCCATGAAGTCACCAGGAGATGAACAGGATTGGAGAGGTCCTTCATGACCTGAATTAGTTAATGCTACCTTAAGGTTTATTAGAAGCCGCATATCGTTTCTTCCTCGACCCCCTCGCCATAAGAATCATTGTAACATAAATATAACAATAACCACAATATAAAACAGCAGCTCTTAATTTCCAGATGCTCTCTTGAAGAGCCACAGCCTTGCTGTTCTATGAAGAACTATGAATGTGGATATTTTACAGAGACAGTCCTGTTCCTAGTCTGCTCCTCTTTCCCTTAATTGTCCAGATGGGAGTATCAAGAGCAGTGTTTCTCAACCTTGGCAACTTTAAGACGTGCGGACTTCAACTCCCAGGATTCTCCAGCCAGCACAGCTGGCTGGAGAATCCTGGGAGTTGAAGTCCGCACATCTTACAGTTGCCAAGGTTGAGAAACACTGATCAAGAGCATCTCTTCATGGATAGATCGACCTGGAATTGGACTTTGTCCTGGATAGTCCCATAGATAGTTTGCACCTAAGCCATGTGTTTGTTCATTTATTTATTGTATGTCTATCCTGCCACAATCAAAAGCAACTCTTGGAAGCAGGGTTTTATAGGTAATAACCAGCATGAGTTGTACCCAGAAACAAGCTGGTTACTAATCATAGCAGTGCAGCACTGTTGTAGTGTCAGTCCCCTTCCAGTATATGGGCTGCTGCATTTTGCACCAAACACAAAAGTAGTTCCTAAGTAGTCTCCCAGGGCAGCCCCAAGTAGCGTTCATTTCAGTAGTCCAGCTCCAAAATAGTAGGGACTGTTATTAAGGCTTCCCACTCTATTACATAGAAGAAGGAATGTGGGAATGGCACAAACACTATTTTGTCTCCTTCTGTAGCATTTGTCCAAGCTGCAATTCAATTGCTGGCCTTTGGGTGGTTGGGTGTAAGCATCACTCCAAAGGAGATCAGAGGATTGATGATATGACAGTACTTCTGGTGCTGGAAATGTCTGGCTACTTACCAAAAGCCATCTTGATTGGCACAGGGCCAGCAGTTCCAACTTCTTCGCTCCACAGAGATCTCCAAATTCCGCATCAGCCACAGCTCTTCCGAATGAGACCAACAATTCTATCTATCTATCTATCTATCTATCTATCTATCTATCT